GATGAAACAGACCCCATGAGGATCCTAAGAAGGAGAGACACATGTTCTCAGCCTGGTAAAGATTAAGACATGCGGCTGTAAACTCTGATGGTAGCTGTGATTCTAATTCTCTGCCCGAAGCAGCTGCCACTGCCAGGACAAGCCAATCAACCACCCCTGACTCCGTGGGAGTAAGCAGATGCAGACAGCCTTGCGGCAGATGAGAACTTCATCGGGGGACGTCGTCCTCAGACTGTTCTGATGGACAGAGAATGCATACATCAGATTCTTGTATCAGGAGGGATAAAAGTCTGTTGAGTGAATGACTTCAATTCCCTTCTCTCTCTGCCTAGATCAGAGACAGAGTTAGTGAGATTTTGGGAAAGAAATGCACAATCTCAATGCATTAGGCAAGAAGTACAGTGGAACTTGCAGATGGGACCATTAAGGCAGACTAGAAAGAGAAAACTTCAAGTACACATATTCAGTTCCTAACACTAATGCTACTCCTGCCACAAGCAGGCACCTCTTGTCCTACAGGACATTTCCAAGTGGGCTGATCCTAAAGCACGTTCTGCCTGGCAAACTACGCTGGCAGGGCAAGCTGGGAAAATTCAGCTCTTTGCTTTCTTAATGGGAAAGTCACCTAAGGCCTCGGCTTTTAAGTGCATGTTGCAAACACCAAAAACATCAATTAGCTCAATCTTGTCCATCTTGGGAGCTGAGAACCGAAATTACACCTCTGCCTCCCGTGTTCTTCATCACCAAATTAGCTCCTAACTGATTAGCACACCAATTACAATTACTAAAAGCAAACATGACACCAACAGTTGCAACTTTTATAGCAGATCCTAGAGGCTAATGAGCTCAACGTGTTAATCAGCTGAAAAAGCTTCTCCCAAGCAGCCACTCCAACAGCACGCCACCACTTCCCGAAATTCCAGGCCTCAAATAAATCAATAAATACATAAGACCTCCCTGACAGCATTAGAGTTTCTTGGGAAAAGTACAGGATGGCTTGTTTTCTGAGACTTGTTCATTACAGGCAGTTCTGGTTGTTGCCTCATTGATTTATCTGATTTCCCCAAGTACCATCCCGCCACACGCGGTCTCCTGGGCCCTGACAAGCCCCTGGGCCTCTTTGGCCTCACAGCTGTGGGTAATTACTTTCTCCTAATGTCCTGCTAAACCTGCACGGAGCTCATGGCTCCCGCCTTCAGGCTGGTCCGGCCCTGGCAACTGTGGGCATTTGAGGAGTGATAGTGATCCAGTGGGTGGAAGATCTGTCTCTCCCACCACCTCTCTGTCATTCTGTCTTTCAGATAAATAAATCAATCTTAAAAAACAAAACAAAACAACAACATAAACACTACTCTTTTGGATCCTGCTTTCACCTAGTGCTCCTTTTCTTCTCTGGGTGGTCATTTTGTTTCCTTTGAAAATTTTTATTTTTGCTTTTTATTTACTTTTTTGATGTTTAATTGCATTTATTTTTATCTACTTGAAAGACAAAGAAACAGATCTTCCATCCACTTCCAAAATGACTGCAGCAGCTAGGGCTGGGCCAGGATCTCCATCGGGGTCTCCCATGCGGATGGCAGGGTCCCAAGTACTTGAGCCATTATCCGCTGCCTCTCAGGATGCAAAAGCAGGATGCTGGATCAGAAGCAGGGCAGCTGGCATGCAAATGACACTCCACTAGAAGACGTGGGCATTGGTGTCTTAACTCCACTTATAAGACATGGGCACCCCACATTGGTGTCTTAACTCCACTTATAAGACATGGGCACCCCAAACGGCGGCTTAACCTGCTGTGCCACAATACCTGCCCCATGTTCTTTAGGCTACTCAGGACAACTCAGTTACTCCACAGTATTCTGTGTATGGCAGGTGCACAATCTGTCTGCTGAATAAAGAAAGAATCCCAAGGCTCAGGGCTTCACCACTGTGTGCTTTCCCTGCGTCCTCTCTCTCCAGCTTGAAATACCAAGTCTGTACAGAACATACTCAAATTACACCCCAAACAAGTAGTAAGAGCTGGCACCAGCCTCCGGAGACAGAGAGACATCTGGGTGATGGCATCAATCTGTCAAACCTTTCTGCAACTGTGTACTTTGCTCTGTGACGGACAGTTTATCCCACCAATGGGACAGAGTGTATTTCTCTACCCTTTGACTTTGGGTTGGGCCACATGAATTGCTTTAGCCAATAGAATGAGGCAGAAGAGACAGGATGCCTGTTCCAAACTTGGGCCTAAAAAGGCCTCTCCAGTTTATGTTCACTATCTGTCATTAGCAGGAGAACATAACCTGGCAGGCCACTCGCCCAGGGATGGTCAGAAATACATGTGGCAGAGCCACTGTCAGGGAGTGGGAAGATCCTGCAGGGAGAAGCAGAGCCACCCAGCTAGACCCAGAAACTCAACTTGTCAACAGGTGCACGAGCCGTAATAAACAGTTGGTGTTTTAAGCTCCTGAATGTTGGGCAGTTTGTTGAACAGCAATAACATACCGACAGTCCACTCGAGCTTTAGACCTGAGAAGTTACATGGGTCACCACATTATTAACTAGCAATCCAGTGGCAGAAGCAACAACGATGATCATAATACTAAAATAACAGCCCACATACACTGAACACCCGATGCTGAGCACTCTCAAGGCATTCACTCAAGGAGTCCTAGTGTCAGCCCCCCTTTCATAAATCAACTCTTTATGACAGAACAGGTCTGGATTACAGAATCATTGAGAAGACAGTCCAGCAGGTGCCCTACACCCCACACCCAGCTGCATCTAGAATTAACACCTTACATTAGGATGCCATCTTTGTCAAAAATAAGGAACCAATATTGACACACAATATAGACTTGATTGTCAGCTAAAGTCCACTGTTTTTTCAGATTTCCTGTTTCCCCTAATGCTCTTTCTCTGCCCCAGGATCCCCCTCCCACAACACACTTAGTCATCACATCTCCCTAGGTGCCGACACTTTTAGCTCTTTCCCCTCTTATTCATTTTTTTAAATGGATTTATTTATTTATTTGAAAGACAGAGTTAGAGAGAGAGAGAGAGAGAGAGAGAGAGAGATTTCATTGGTGGTTCATGCCCTAAATGGCTGCAACAGCCAGCACTGGGCCAGGTGAAAGCCAGGAGCCAGGAGCTTCTTCTAGGTCTCCAACACAGTTGCAGGGGCCCAAGTGGGCCATTGTCCACTGCTTTCCCAGGCACATTAGTAGTGAGCTGGACTGGAAGCGGAACAGTCAGGACTTGAACTGGTGATCATATGGGATGTCAGTATGGCAGGTGGTGGCTTCATCTAATTGTGCCACAATGCAGGCCCCTCAAATTTTTTTTTTTTTTTTTTTTTGGACAGGCAGAGTGGACAGTGAGAGAGAGAGAGAGAGACAGAGAGAAAGGTCTTCCTTTTGCTGTTGGTTCACCCTTCAATGGCCGCCGCGGCCAGCGCGCTGCGGCCGGCGCACCGCGCTGATCCGATGGCAGGAGCCAGGAGCCAGGTGCTTTTCCTGGTCTCCCATGGGGTGCAGGGCCCAAGCACCTGGGCCATCCTCCACTGCACTCCCTGGCCACAGCAGAGGGCTGGCCTGGAAGAGGGGCAACCGGGACAGAATCCGGCGCCCCGACCGGGACTAGAACCCGGTGTGCCGGCGCCGCTAGGCGGAGGATTAGCCTAGTGAACTGCGGCGCCGGCCCAATTTTCTTTTGATAACAGCTTTACTGAGATATAATTCATATGGCATACAATTCATCCACTTAAAGTTTACGATTCAGGGTTCCTAGAATACTCGGAGTTGTGCAACTGTTACCACAACCAATTTTAGAACATTTTCATCATTCCAGATGCTGTGTCCTTCAGCTTCCATCCCCTAGCCATTCCCCCTTCCCTCAGCTCCAGGCAACCAGCAGCCCACTCTCTGCCAAGCCAGACTTTTCATGGAAACAGAATCACACAATGTGTGGTATCCGGTGACCAGCTCCTCTCACCAAGAAGCTTCTCCAGGCCCATCCATGCTAGAGCATGTGTCAGTACTTCCCAGATTTTTATAGTCAAGTAATACTCCACACCACGTCTGTATATGTGTGTACTGATGGCATCACTGCATTTTGCTTATCTGTCCATTCATTGCTGGACATGTGGATCGCTTCCACCTTTTGGCAACTGTGAATAATGCTGCTGTGAACGTTCCCACCCAGGCTTTTGTGCAAACATTTCATTTCCTTAGGGTATACCTCTAAGACTGGAATTATGGGGTCAACTGGAAACTCTATCTTTTTTGTGGAAATGCCAGCCTGCTTTCCAAAGCAGCTGTGCCGATTCATCCTCCCATTCAGTTCTCTTTTCACCAACAAGAAACTGAAGTCCAGAAGGAATAACGGGCCAGAGTCCACAGCAGCTGAGAGGAAGGGGAATGAGGTGGTGCACCCAGAGGGGTGGGCTCCAAAGTCTCGGCTTCTGGTGCCCACACTGACCAAGCCAAGGCAAACCGGGAGTTAACTCTGACCCTCTCATCCTGTCTGCTTCTCAGCCTTCAGCCAAGGCTGCCTAATTCTCTACACCCTCTCTCTAAATCCACACATTAAGGGCAGTGTGGAGAATAACGAAGAATCATAAAGGAGAAATCAAATTATTGCAAAAACCATTTATGACAAAGAGGTATTAAGTACTGTGGGAGTCTCTGGCCTGGAGGGAACAAAGGTGCACAGTGACATCAGTCAACCCAAGGGGCTGCTGGGAGAGGAGTGCACGTGAACTATCCTCTGCCTTAAAGCAATGGGATTCAACACATAGAATCACAAGGAAGCGTAACCAAAACTTGCACATCTCTGTGAAATACTGCACTCTCCAGGGACCCTCTGAGACCCTCCAGCTAAAAACCAGGGAAATTTAATATACATAAAAAGCTGACCCGCATCTTGGGCCGGATGACTTGAGAGGGATTTTGTGCAAACAAACGTGACGCGATCCTGTCCACAGACTCAGAGGCCTGTGCTCAGGACCAGCTTACCCTGAATCGCAGACAGATAGACGAACGTGTCTTCATGCTCCAAGTTCTCCAAGAATATCTGGAACCACAAAATACAGCAGTGAGAAGACGGGCAGGGAGCAAGGGAAATTTAGGAGACCTCCTTGATGAGCTGCCTCGAAACAGTAAATGCTTTTCCTCTTGTCTGTCTTGGTTAAAAGCTGCTCAGAGGGCCGGCGCCACGGCTCAATAGGCTAATCCTCCACCTAGCGGCGCCGGCACACCGGGTTCTAGTCCCGGTCGGGGCACCAGATTCTTTCCCAGTTCCCCCTCTTCCAGGCCAGCTCTCTGCTGTGGCCCGGGAAGGTAGTGGAGGGAGGCCCAACTGCTTGGGCCCTGCACCCCATGGGAGACCAGGAGAAGCACCTGGCTCCTGCCTTCAGATCAGCGCAGTGCGCCGACAGCAGCACGCCAGCTGTGGCGGCCATTGGAGGGTGAACCAACGGCAAAAGGAAGACCTTTCTCTCTGTCTCTCTCTCACTATCCACTCTGCCTGTCAAAAAAAAAAAAAGCTGGTCAGAGTTAGTCTCGTGGGGAAAATGCGGGTGTGTGTCAAGTCTCACTTTTACAGTTTAAAAAATTAGGAATTGGGGGAGATGTAGCAGTAGTCATGGAAACCCGGCCGTGGAAGGTCAATCCTCCACATTTTTGATGACAGCCCATGGTAGAGAACATTCTCACATGATATGACAGACTACAGGCTGCGACACGCAAGAGGCGAGGTCTGGGGAAACGTGCCATCCGGGGAGTATTTGCTGCAACTCGGTTCTTTTCCCTTGCACTCAGAAAGCATATGGGAATGCAAGTGAGATCGTGTTATTGAGATGACTTCGAATCTGTTCTACTTTTAAAAATCATCCAAATTTTAGCACTTCAACCAACAGTAGTAACAAATCCCTCTCGATACCCCATAACGTAGAAACTCACCAGGGTGTGTCAGCAGCAGAGTCCTGCTTAGCTACAAGCTAGCACAGAGACATGCTTAGCTCAGGCCCTAACACGAGAGCCAGAGAACATGGTGGCCATGTGCCCAAGTTCCTGTTGGGCACCCAGAAGAGGGGGTTATCTGCTCCACATACAGTGCCAGTGATTTGCTAGCACAGTGATTTTTTTTAAAGATTTATTTATTTAGTTGAAAGTCAGAATTACAGAGAACTAGAGGCAGAGAGAGAGAGAGAGAGAGAGAGAGACTTCCATCCACTGGTTCACTCCTCAAATGGCCACCAAAGGCTGGAGCTGAGCCTATCCAAAGTCAGGAGTCAGGAGCTTCATCTGGGTCTCCCTTATGGGTGCAGGAGCCCAAGCATTTGGGCCATCTTTTCTGCTGCTTTCCCAGGTGCATTAGCAGGGAGCTGGATCGGAAGTAGAGCAGCCAGGACTCGAACCTGTGCCCATATGGGATGCCAGCACCACAGATGGCAGCTTTACTGGATATGCCATGGGGTAGCACAGTGATTCTTGATATCAACTTGAGGCTCTTGTCTCTGTATCTCAAGTGTGTGCGTATTAGGGACGGCCTAAAATCAGTCCCATTGCAAAGGTGGCCAAGTTGGAAGGCTTAGTGGATGTTTGAAGTAAGGGAAGCTTAATTCAGGGTAGTGCCCCCGTGAGTAAGAAGGAAGGAAATCAATTTTAAAGACTTCTCAGAGAAAAAGAATCGACAGGACTCGGCCATCAGTTATATAAAGCCAATGAAGGTTCAATGAAGTTAAAGAAAATTCCAAAGATGCCCACAGCAGTCACTATCAACACAGGTATACTAAGCGACATTTTTAATGATGACTTACAGAAGATCAATTTCAGCAAATCCTTGGCACATTTCTGTGCTTTACTTTTTATCTGTAAGATGGGATAACACCAATGCTGCAGTTGCTGGGAGGACTGGAGACAGCGTATGGAAGGCACCTGGCCTGGCTCAACACGCAGCAGTTTTCTCAGCAAGCTGATGTGAGGAGTCTGAGACCCGCGCCTGGGATCTGATCCCAGTCAGTGGTCTCTAGACCTCTTGCTCCTGGTCTCCAACCCCGACTGAGGTCAGGACAATTGGCACAAAAGGGAAAAGATCCCCAGCTAAGCATTCATGTCCTCCACACACGTCTACAGTGGCTTTTTTACTGTGACAGAGCGAGAAAGCAGGAGACCCAGTACCACCCGATGCCCCTCTAAAAGTGGCCCATAGAAGACAGGCGGCTTTTCCAGGTTGGGTCACGGTGTTGAGAGTGGACCTGGTCACCAAGAAAGGCCCGGCCCAGCTCTGGGATCTCCTCACGCTACTGCTTCCCCTTTGCTTTCAGCGGCACAAACGCCTCCAGTGTGGAGGCCACGTTGAGATCTACCTCCTCCAGACTTCAACCCTGCCGTCCGCAGCATTTCCTGACAGCACCCAGTCTGTTGGATCCAGCAGCCTCGTGTGGTCATCCAAATCCCTCCTGTAAGTCCCGTCTCCTCCCAACATCCACATGATCCGGGCCGGGGCTCCCTGGGTCCTGGGGCAGCAGGAGGCCGCCCTGCACCCCTGCATCGGCCTGAGCCGGGGCTCCCTGGGTCCTGGGGCAGCAGGAGGCCGCCCTGCACCCCTGCATCGGCCTGGGCCGGGGCTCCCTGGGTCCTGGAGCAGCAGGAGGCCGCCCTGCACCCCTGCATCGGCCTGAGCCGGGGCTCCCTGGGTCCTGGAGCAGCAGGAGGCCGCCCTGCACCCCTGCATCGGCGTGGGAGGTCCCACTCACCTTGAGAAGCTTCTCCTGCACCGCGAGGGCCTTGGCCTCCCTCTCCTCTATCCAGCGGGACAGAGTGCGCAGGGCTGCGGCCCGCGTCGGAACCTGAGGGTCGTAAGCTGACAAAAGCAGCTCTTGGAGCTGTTCTGTGGTTACACTTCCAGGCTTCTGGGCTGTGCCAGTGCTGGGCTCAGGGCTCCCCTTAGGCACAGATGCAGCCTGGGCCTGCTGGCCTGCGAGGGGCGCTTTCTCCCGGTTTTGCTGCTGCTCGAGGTGGCTCTGAGCTCCATCAGCATTCGTGTGTCGCTGCCCTTCCGGTTTCCTTTCTGGATCTTTCTTGCTCAGGGTGCTCCGGGCAGCCACACTGACAGCCTCCGTGGCAAAGGCTCCATGGGTAGAGATGGTGATGCGGAGATCCACGGCGAGCTCCTGGATGGTGGGGTCGGGGTACGTGCTGGAGACCTTGTCCAGCAGAGGCAGCAACTGCTTCAGGACAGCAAAGTCGCTGGACTTCAGCTAGAAAAGGACAAGGAAAAAAGCGCTAAACCCCAATAACAGAGCAAAGGTAATGTGACCTGAGGCCAGGCACAGGTTCCAAGTGAAAGGGACGGGCCCAAGTGTGTGCACAGCAGATCAGCGCATCCCACAGGCACACACTGAAACTGCATCAAGAAGCTCACAGAAAGTATGCATTATCCATGCACTTCAAACCTCTTTTGTGCAAAATAAGCTTTTTTTTTTTTTTTTTTTTTTTGACAGGTAGAGTTGTAGACAGTGAGAGAGAAAAGACGGATCTGTTGGTTCACTCCCCAACTGGCTGCGGTGGCCGGTGCTGCGGCAATCTGAAGCCAGGAGCCAGGTGCTTCCTCCCAGTCTCCCATGTGGGTACAGGGGCCCAAGCACTTGGCCCATCCTCCACTGCCTTCCTGGGCCACAGCAGAGAGCTGGACTGGAAGAGGAGCAACTGGGACTAGAACCTGGCGCTCATATGGGATGCCGGCATCCAAGGCAGAGGATTAACCAAGTGAGCCACGGCGCTGACCCCTAAACTTAAATCTTTTAATTCCATTTTCTATGAACTTTTTGAAGTACTCACGTATTTACTGAATAATTATAGTTAACATTTAATCAACATAATGCATGTAAAAGTACTTTTCTAAGTTAAAACACTGTGGGGAGCAACTCAGACTAGACTAAGTTACTGGAATTAAGACTTATTCTATGCATCTGCTCTCCCACAATATGGCGCTGGGAGAGGAGTAAACAGCTTCTGCGCAGCTGCCTCCAGTTCGACCAATAAACTGCAGGAGCTTGCTCCTGATTGGAGGAGAGCAGCGTGCTCGGCATGTGGGTAGCAGAGTTGGGATTGGTGGAAGAGGACTATAAAGGAGGAGAGAGATGGCATGCACCAGGAACATCTAAAGGGAACATCCGGATAACATCTGAGCAGCCCCCGAGAGAGCCGGCCGGCGGTGTGCCGCTCCCCCACGGAAGTGGGGAAAGTGGCAGGGGGAGCTGCCCTTCCACGGAGATGGAAGGGATAGTAGCCAACCCGGGAAGAACCAGCAGCAAACCCGGGGAGGGCCGAGCAGACAAAAGAACAGCGCAGGGTCCTGTGTTGTTCCTCCACGAAGAGGGGGAGTGACAAAACACAACCATTCATATCCCTAAGACATAGCTACTACTAATGTTACATTTAAATTCTGGTTTTATTTTCATTTTATTTGAAAAAACAGAGAGACAGGGAGACATCTTTCATTGGCTAGTTCACTCCTCAAATGCCTACAATATACAGGGCTGAGCCAGGCTGAAGCCAGGAGTTGGGAATTCCATCCATGTCTCCCACACGGGTGGTAGCTCCCAAGTACCTGAGCCAGGGTATGCACCAGCAGGAAGCTGGATCAGAAGCGGGGGAGCTGGGATACAAACCAGGGACTGATAGGGACGTGGGCATCCCAGGTGACGATTTAACCGCTGTGCTACACACCTGACCCAATAGCTACATTGTTAACAGGGGGAAGCTGAGGCACAGAATAATTAAGTAGTATGCCTAAGGTCACAACCTGGAAGACAGGACTGACACTCTTCCCCAACACCCTGCTCCTGACTATGGGACCTGAAGTGGGCGGTCAGCACACCAGGGCACCACAGGTTAGGAAGGGATCAAGGGAAGAACTGGCAGAAATGAACTGCTCCCTGAAACCACGCAGGAGTCACTGCTCTACAGAAGCGGCGTTCTAATAACGCCGCAGGCCTTGCTAAGCACGGAGCCGGTGCAGTCTGGACAGTGACTCCACAGAAATCCTGTGTGTCTGAGAACACCTGAGAGATGATCCTGTGAGGCTTCCAGAGGCCCTGGAAACCCAAAGGCTTTGGGGGCCTTGAAGGCTTCTTAGACCAAGGCAGGGTACTGACCACTGAATCATTCACTCACGTCACCATCTAACCAAGCAGTCAACCAACCAACCAGCTGCTGCCGTAAGACCTACACCTGTTCTCCTTCCGCACTGTAACTCCGCAGAACCATCATTGTTCATGTTCCCAGCACTGTCCTCACAAGCACAGGCAGGTCAGGTTTGTACCTGTAGCACTTCACTCAGCACCCCGAGATTCCTCTGCTTACACAAGTAGAAACTCACGCGGAACCACCATCAGGGAGAACCTGAGATAACCAAGTTACGTTGGCTTATCTTCATGTGAAAAACAACTCTGATCGTTGTGATGTGATCATCTTAAGTGGCAAGGAGTGTGCCTATGTCTGCAGTAAGAGTGTATGTTATCTAAGAAAAGGGCCACTTATTTCTACACAGAACACTGTGGGATGATTTTGCTAGTGTGATTACGCTGAACTTTATTCAGTACCTGGCTGCAGCACAGACGTACGTGTGTGTGTGTGTGTGTGTGTGCGCGCGAAAGAGAGACAGAGAGAGAAAGAGAGAGAGAGACAGATATTTTAAACATCTGAAAGGGGATTATCTACCTACATCTACACTCCACGTGACTTCTTTTTCATTTCTACTATATGGAAGAATTTCTTCTTAAAAAAACAACAACAAAAAAATCCCAGCATGGCTAGATCAGTGAAACAAAACAGAGAGCCCCATGAGTACGGTCAGCGGCCAGCTATCTTTGACAAAGGAGCACAGGAATGCGTAGAAAAAGACGGTCTTTGCAACAAACGGTGCTGGAACAACTGGACGTCCACATGTGAAAAAAGAACACAGACACTGCCCTTACACCTTTTGTAAAAATTCAAAACGTATCAACCGTCAGCACAGTGTTGCCTTTTTATTTTCACTATGTTTTTATTTTCTTCTGACATTCTATTTATACATACTTGTGAGGTATAGTATGACAGATCATACAATACATATATACAACATGTATTGATCAAATCAGGGTAATTAGCATTTCTTATCTCCTCATTTATCATTTATATATATTGAGAAACTTCAGGTTAAACTGTCATAAGCTATAGTTATCATAGTCCACTAAAGAATGCTTGAATTTTAATATAACACCAGGAGCTGGCGATGTACCATAGCCTGTGACACCAGCAACCCATATAAGCACCAGTTCAAGTTCCAGCTGCTCCACTTCTGACCCAGCTCACTGCTAAGGCACCTGAGAAAGTAGTGGAAGCAGGAGCCTCTGTACTTGGGACCCTGTTACCCATACAGGAGACCTGGATGAGGCTCTTGGCTTCAGCCTGGCCCAGCCCTAGATGCTGCAGCCATTTGGGGAGTGAACCACAGGATGGAAGAATCTCTGTGTGTGTGTCTCTCCCTCTCTATCTCTACATTTGAAATAAATGAATAAATCTTTAAAAAATTAAAATATGAGAACACCAAAGGTACAATCTATGAAAGAAATAAAAAAGTCTGCTCTACAAAATACATGGGCAAAAGCATAAGAAATAAACCACAGATTAGAAAAAAATTTGCAAAAGACATATGAAAAAGGAGTGCTAACCAAAATGTGGTGAGACTGTGGAGCCATGGGAATCCATTCTTTGCTGATGGGAATACAAAATGGCAGAGGCACTGTGGCAGACATTTTGTCAGTTTCTTCAAAAACAGAACAGGTAAATAAAAAGTTAAATAAATAAGACTAAAAAAGGAGGGGGTGCCTAGTGGTACAGTGGGTGGAGCTGCTGTCAGCAACGCTAGCATCTCATATGGACACCAGTTCGAGTCCTGCCTGCTCCACTTCCGATCCAGCTCTGATCTAATGGCATGGGAGAAGCAGCAGAGGATGGCCCAAGGGCTTTGACCCCTGCCACCCACATGGGAGACCTGAAGTAGCTCCTGGATCCTGGCTTCAGCCTGGGCCAGCCTTGGCTGTTGTGGCTATCTTGGGGGTGAACTGGCAGATAGAAGATCTCTCTCTCTCTCTCTCTCTCTCATTCTCTCATTCTGTCTCTCCCTCTTTCCATGTAACTCTGCCTTTCAAGTAGATGGATGGGTCTTTACAACAAAACAAAACAAAAACCCTAAACCAAACGGACTTACTGTACAACCAGCCATGTGCTCCTTGGTATTTTCATAAATGAAATGTAAACTTACATCCACCCAAAAACCTGTCCACAGAAGTTTCCAACAGCTCTAGCTATAACTGCCACATCGCCAAAATGTTGCTTTTGAAGGGGAACAGGTCAACAAAAGCTGGAACATCTAGACGATGTCACAACACTACCAGCACTGAGAAGAAAGGAGCGATGAAGCCCGGAGAACACAGGCAGAACCTCACCCACGTGCCACTGTGTGACAGACGCCAATCTGGAAGGACAGCATCCTGGATGATCCCAACTGCACAAACAATGCCAACAGCACAAAGGTCAGTGGTCGGGGCGGTTAGGAGGGAGGGAAGGACTGGCAAGCAGAACGTGGAGGACCTTAAGGCAGTGAGACTGCTCTGTGTGATGCTTCAGTGGTGAGGACACAATCACTTACACAAAGTTTTGTCACAGACTTTATGTGCACAATAGTTATTGTCCAGGCACTGTGTGAAGAATGTGAGAGCGGGGGCCGGTGCTGTAGTGCAGCGCTGGCATCCCATATGGGTGCTGGTTCACGTCCCAGCTGCTCTAATTCCCATCCAGCTCTCTGCTATGGCCTGGGAAAGCAGTAGAAGATGGCCCAACTCCTTGGGCCCCTGCACCCACATGGCAGACCTGGAGGAAGCTCCTGGCTCCTGGCTTTGGATTGGTGCAGCTCCGGCCATTGTGGCCATCTGGGGAGTGAATCAGCGGATGGAAGACCTCTCTCTCTCTCTGTCTCTGCCTCTCTGTAACTCTGACTTTCAAATAAATAAATAAATCTTGAAAAAAAAAATAAACAGGAGAGTGATCTCATTGGAACATTTCAACTTTTGTGCCCATAACAGCAAAACGCTCAACTCCTTTCACTGTCTGTCCAGTCAAGTCCTAGAATGCATCTGGGAAAAAGGACACTTAAAACATAGCGTGAAGCTGAAGATCACAGAAAATAATGAAATCCAGAAAGAATAAGTGGTCCTAAAAAGTCATATATTATAACTTAGCTATTAAATCTTTGCCTAAAAATCTCCTTGCAGTACTGACTCCTGCCATGTAGTAGCTATCTGCTAGTGGTCTTGAACATTGGGGATCTTTGGAAACATTTGGGTCAAATGCTCTTAGCGTTTTTAATAGAAGAAAACCTTCATAGACCCCCTGGTGTCAAAGAATTCATTCTGCAGAAATTATATAAATCTCTGAAAGTCTTTAACAAATATATACATGAACACAATGGAGACAATTACAAAAAGAGATGGTTGAATCTCAAAAGCATGAAGAAGTAGGGAGAACCAGTCGTTAGCAAGCTGGAAGGGCATTTTTCAACGTCCTCTAAAACCAGACACTGTGGCTTCCAAGAGCTTTTTTTAAAAAGTTATTTATCTGTCCATTAATTTATCTGAATGGCAGAGAGACAGAGCAGAGAGAGAGGGAGAGAGATCTTCCATCTGCTGGTTCATTCCCCAAATGTCCATTAACAGCCAGATCTGGGCCAGGCCAAAGCCAGAAGCCAAGAACTCCATCCTGGTCTCCTACGCATGTGGCAGGGACCAAGCACCTGGGCCATCATCTGCTGCCTCCCCGGGCGTGCCCGCAAGGCAGCTGGACAAGGGGCAGAGCAGTTGGGACTTGCACTGGCGCTCTGACTTGGTGTGCCAGTGTCGCAAGCTGAGGCTTAACCCGCTGCACCGCAATGCCGGCCCCCGAGGAAGGGCTTTTTTTTAGTAGTTTGGCCAACTGCGTGTAGTGGCTGCAGGATGTCCTACCACTGCAGGGACACGCTGAGAGAAGTCTGCATTCCCTAGAGGATAATTGAGGAAACACCTGCGCACAACTAAGACGCGGGGCTCTCCCCTGCCCCGAGCAGAACGTGGCTGACACAACACACCCACGCTGTACCCCATCATCAGGCTGAGGGCAGTGCTTCTATGTGGGCAAAAGCCCATGCCCTCTCCATACCATTAGAGAAGGGGAGGGGGGAACCACGCCTCCTCCGTTAGAAATCCATCTGTTTTTCTCTTTCTTCCTTCTTCTTTCCACTTATCCATCCATCCAAAAACTGTCTATTAAGCTCCTGCTGTGGCAGGTTTTTTAAACGGCAGAAAGTAAGACATTTCTGAACTAGGCTGCTTGGGGGCAGCAGTAATTACACATGATTGGTTGCTCTTTGAAGTTACCCATAATGGCTTGAAATAACGGGAATTTTCCCAAGCTGTTCTCAAAAGCACTCACCTCCAGCCCGGCAAAGGAAGCAAGGACAGTGTCCCAGCACAGGGACCAGGCCTGCCAGTTCACCTGCCGCACACCCAAAGCTCTCAGCGGCTCCTCTCTCTCCCTTTCCCCAGTCCCTAGCAGACCTCTGGCTTGCTCACCACAGCTTCCATCTCAGCCTCTAAGCATTTGCTATGATTCTTTTCATTTTAAATTTATTTTTTTATATATCTGAAAGGCCTAGAGAGACATATAAAGAGATAGACACAGAGACAGAAGGGGGTCTCCCATTTGCTACTTCACTCTTTAGACCTGGGATTGGCCAGGTCTAAGTCAGGAGCCAGGAACTCAATCCAGGTCTCCCATGTGGGTGGCAGGGACCCGAGTACTTGATCCATCACTGCTGCCTCCCAGGGTTCGCATTAGCGGGAAGCTGTAAGGGAGAGCGGGGCCGGTACTTGAACCCAGGCACTCCAACAAGGGATGTGTGGGTGTCCCAAATGGTGGCTTAACCACTGCACCAAACACCCACGCCACATTGGCTAGGACTCTGATATGTAAGTCAACAGCACCTAAAACACAGTCGCGTGCCCACAAAGTCTGAGCAACGGCCTTCGGTCAAAAGACCAAACCACACAGCATAAGCCCGAGCAGGAGACACCGCCCCTCAGAGGAGAGCTGCATCTTCTGTCTCCCAGTGACGATTCAGCCAGGCTTTAAACTGCCAAGAAGAACGTGGCTTTGTTTTTCCCTAAAGAAGCTCTGGAATGGTCTTCTCAGAGCTCCCGCGCTGCAGCCTGTGGAGGACCCAAGTACAACGCAACGTCGGGCAGAAACCGCTACTGGGGACAAGAGGAGCCACCAGCGTAACACCTGCACGGATGACCAACCCTGACATTTAGAAAATGAGCCTGGACCACACTTGCCTTGTTAACACTCTGAGATCTACACTTCTTCCAAATTAACTCCTCTTCCCAGACACGATGTTCTAATGATCACCTTAATTACATGAATTAGAAAGCGAAGAAGAAAAGGGCTCAGATGGTGTTGGACTCTCCTTCATTAGCCAGAACAGGGGCTGCTACTGAGGATCAGCACGGGGTGATGCTCAGAGCCTAAAGCTAAGGCCTGAGCCTGCCAACGATCAATGGGAAACATAGTTCTGAATCATGACTCTCCCCCTAATGTAAGCACGGAGAACCCGGCATTACGAGGCAAGCCTCTTATAAATTCATGTGCCAAACAGAAAAGAAGTTAATGGAAGGGGGTGAAAGTTTAGGGGTGACGTGTCTGTGTTCACTCAAATAACTGCCAAGTCAGAGGAACCCAGGATATCGCCAGTGAGTCACAGTGGCTCACGGGAGGGCGTGGACAGACAAGGAACGTGCACCTACACAGGCCGGGTGGGTCTCTCGTCAACCTGGCCCCGACGCTGCACTCCTGCAGGGGGAAAGGGAGATTTCTGAGGCCTGTTCTCCACTTGGGACGTGGTTTAAAATAGCAAGTGTTCCATAAAGAGAAGCAAAAACACACTCTCGGCTTAAGGAAACAAAGATGATTCCAGTCAAAACTCAACCAGAAAAACAGAAATGAATCAGGCCAACCAAATGCAGTCACAAAACAACTGAAGAAAAATTATTCAATCTGTGAACCCTTGATACACTTCTAACAGCAGGCATTTAGCACGGCTCTAGAAACTGAACCAGACTACATGGGAATTACAAAATAAGGAGTGCTAGGTAAATCTACCAAGAGACTGGCTTCACATTGAAACAGGCCCAAAGTGCCTTTCCCCTTTAAGGACAGGCTAGAAGAGGGCAAATTCTAATCCATAATCAACTCAGATTTGAATCCTGAAACTCAAATTCAAAAATCCATTCCCAGAGGGTTCCCTGCTCTTTGCAAAGGGTTGAGCAGGTTGGTTTCAGGTCAGATTTCCTAATACTTGCACTAAGCCTATTCTGTTTTCTTGTAGAGTCCTAACCTGAGGTGGTATGCAATTAACCAGGCACACGCACACACACACACACACCACCCTACCCTCCTCTTGCCCAGTCTATCTTTCTCCCTTGTTGGCTCCGCTCTTCCCCTTGGCCTCTGTCATTCAGCCACACAGCCTTCCACCAGTGTATCTCAACTACGCCAAGCTCTCTGCTGCTTCTGAGCCTTTGTCCATGATGGTTTCTTTAACTGGAAGAGTCTCTTCCATTGCACTGTTTACACACTCAACCTCCTATTCATTCTTTTAAGTCTTAGCTTAAACTTACACTTCCTCAGTAGAGACTCCCCAGTCTGTGATAGGTGTTAGCTTTTCTTGGTACCGTCCACTTCTCTTTAGAGGCACTTCATTCAATTAATTATTTTTTTTCCCAAGATTTATTTAGTTGAAAGGCAGAGTTACCGAGAGGGAGAGGCAGATGGAGAGAGAGAATGAAAGAGAGAGAGAGAGAGGTCTTCCATCTGCTGATTCACTCCCCAAATGGCTGCAATGGCCAGGGCTGGACCAGACCAAAGCCAGGAGCCAGGAGCTTCATCTAGGTCTCTCAATGGGTGAGGGGCCCAAACACTTGGGCTATCTTCTGCTGCTTTCCCAGGTGCATTAGCAGGAAGCTGCATGGGAAGTGGAGCAGCCAGGACTTGAACCAGTGCCCATATGGGATGCCAGCATTGCAGGCGGTGGCTTAACCCACTACGCCATAGTGCGAGCCCCTCAATTAATTCTAAATATATTTACTGAACAGTCATTTAGTGTCCGACTTTCTTAGTGCACTGTAAGTGTCCTGAGGGTAGGGATACTGCCTTGTGCACGGCTGTGTCCTCAGCACCTCTGTTCAGTATCCAGTACAGAGATCCCTCCCAGGCACATTAGCAAGAAGTTGGATTGGAAGTACACAGCAGCCAAGACTTGAACCAGCTACTCCAATTTGGGATGCTGGTGTCCTAAGCCGAGGCTACACCACAACACCTGCTCTGACATATGCATTTAAGAGTGGCTGGGGGTAGGCATTTAGCACAGCAGTTAAGACTCCACCCCAGGACTGATGTTGTGGTCCCATCCCACAGCAGAATGCCAGTTCAAGTCCCAGCTACTCCACTGTCAATCTAGCTTCATGCTATGTGCCTGAGAAAACAGTGGAAGAGGGCACAGGCACTTTGGTCCCTGCCACCCACATGGGAGACCTGGATGGAGTTCCTAGCTCCTGGTTCAGCCTGGCCTAATCCAGGCTGTTGTGGCCATCTGGGAAATGAACCAGAGGATGGACGATCTCTGTCTCTCCCCCTCTCTCAGTCACTTTAACTTTCAAATAAATAAATATTTAAAAAAAGAAAAGATGCTCTCTGGCATCCTATAATGAAATGCCTGGGTTCAAGCCCTGACTCTACCTCTGATTCCACTTGACACCTAGGGTACTGACATCCATATTGGAGGGCCCAGCTTCTAGTCCTGCCTCTACTTCCAATCAGCTTCCTGCTAATGCACATCTGGGAGACAGCAGGTGATGACGCAAGTTCTTGGATTTCTGCCATCCACGTGGGAGACTTCTTGCCTTGCAACTTCTTGTCCTGTACTCTGGCAGGAATTCTCATTAACAACCTACTCTGTCACCCTGGTTTTCCTATGTACAGATACCCACTTATTTCTCACAAGGATATGGAAGGAAAGCAACAAGTGTTCTGCTTCAATTTTTCGTCCATTCGAAAACAAGTGTGGCTCACGTCTGCAACTCACCTGAACAGCCCCTCCTAGGATGACAGCCACCAGCCCCATGGACATACTCAGCGTCTGCGACTCCACAGTGCTCTCTGCTTCATGGGCCAAGCTGGCACAGGCTCTCTGCAGTGTTGCTGCGACGAAGTCCACCACCTACCAAAAAAACAGACCTTAGGATCAGTGAGGAGCAAGGAAAAAAACTTGTAATTTGTCTTGTATATGTCTACATGTTCGTCTTCATCAACACCGAGAACCATCAAAACACCTGCTACTCTGCAGCAGGCACAGTGCTAGACTGTTTTTCTTTTTGCGCATTCACCAGTTTTTTATAGAAGATATTGCAAACGAAACAGATGAACAGCCAGATGGTGGGTAGGGCCCACAGCTTCCATGCCCTCTTGGGCCAGCTACCCTCCCTGCACCTCTGGAAACTCCCATGTGTTTTACATGCATGTCACTTGGTTCTCACATCAACACTCTACAGGGTCAGTACTGTTACCCCCAGAAAATGAAGAATCTGGGGCTGGCGCTGTGGTGCAGTGGGTTAAAGCCCTGTCCTGAAGTGCCAGCATCCCATATGGGCGCTGGTTCGAGTCCCGGCTGCTCGTCTTCCAATCCAGCTCTCTGCGATGGCCTGAGAAAGCAGTAGAAGATGGCCCAAGTCCTTGGGGCCCTGCACCCATGTGGGAGACCCGGAAGAAGCTTCTGGCTTCTGGCTTCGTATCAGCACAGCTCCGGCCATCTGGGGATGAACCAGTGAATGGAAGACCACTCTCTCTGTCTCTACCTCTCTCTGTAACTCTTTCAAATAAATAAAAAAATAAATCTTTAAAAAAAAAAAAAAAGAAAATGAAGAATCTGAGTCCTAAAGGGGTTATCTGTGTAACATCACAGAGCTAGTAAGTGGGAAATCCTATCTATGCTTTCCCAAACGTCTTAATACACTAATCCAATACCTTTTACCTTTCATGACTTTTGTCAGGAAATTAAAAGTGAAAATTATTTGTAAACTCAAAATGGATCACAGACATCAATATAAAATGCAAACTCTAGAACTCCTGGAAGGTGCCGGCGCCGCGGCTCACTAGGCTAATCCTCCGCCTAGCGGCGCCGGCACACCGGGTTCTAGTCCCAGTCGGGGCGCCGGATTCTGTCCCGGTTGCCCCTCTTCCAGGCCAGCTCTCTGCTGTGGCCAGGGAGTGCAGTGGAGGATGGCCCAGGTGCTTGGGCCCTGCACCCCATGGGAGACCAGGAAAAGCACCTGGCTCCTGGCTCCTGCATCGGATCAGCGCGGTGACCGGTTGCAGTAAGAGGTGAAGTTTATTCCTTGCTGACCAACGGCAAGGAAGACCTTTCCTGATAATAAGCCATCCTGAACAGATCTCCTCCAAGGAGTAATTCAGTGATCCTAGTCCCTCCCATTGTGGGGCTCTGTCATCAACTGGGCCTTGGAATTCTTCACTTCCTGATATAAAAAAAGGATTGGAGGCACACAGAGATCACAAGGACATCTTTAAGGGTCAGGCTCAAAAGTGGAATACATTACTTGGGCCCACGTACACACAGATTCAATCATTTGGAGCCGCACAAGGAGAGGTACAGAGGGATACAATTTAATTATGGGCCCAGGGGGGAGAAATGACTAATGCCAAAACTTAGAGATCGGAAGCCTCCCCCCCTAATCTTTGGTCCAGGTGGAGGGGGTGCGAGTTTTTTGTCTGTTCACCCCCACATAATCTGTGGAAGCCTGGTCTTTTTTCTCAGGGGATCCAATGAGGCTGGACGCAATGTCTTCTGCAGGCTTTGAGGACTCCCCTGGAGGAGGAGAGAGCATCTTGGATCAATGAAACAGTCGCCCTTTCTGTTGCAGAAAACTCTTCCTCTTTTCCTCAAATTCCCCTTCTTTCTTC